GAACAGAGAACCAGTTCGGACCCTCCCTGCCATCCTGTGCCAGCGGGGGCTGCTTGGAACTGTGCTTGGGCAGCCCCTAGGCCCCCTCCGTGGTCACTAACCGGGCAGCCGGGGCCACGTCTCCATTCCCAGGGGAATGAACTGAGTCCGGGAGGAAGCCAGAGGAGGCTGATGATGTTCCCCAACACCTCGCGCCTGCCCGGGGCCGCGACCTTGCTCATCAGACCCAGGCAGGACGCTGTCCCCTTCCACAGAGAAGCAGACTGAGGTCAGAGACCCAGCCGAGGTCACCCCGTGAGGGAAGGGGGTGTTCCGAGGGATGAGCACGGGTCTGAATCTTGGTTTTGTCCCTGGGTAGCTGTGTAACCTCAGGTGGGTCACTTCACCCCTCTGAGCCCCCAAACTCCTCCTCTCTACCAAGGAGCTCATGTCAGTTACCCAGCACGGGGTCACCTGGCACTGGGTGTAGAGCGGTGACACTCAGGAAAGTCTCAGAGGGACACAGACTCTTCTGTCCCCCAGGCCTATGATGTGACCTGGCAGATAAGGAGGCAAAKACTGGCCTAGTCATCCTCCCCGGGGCCACAGGCCTCCAGCTGAGCCTCTACCCAGGGAACCTGGCTGACTTTCTCCTTCCTGGCCCCCAATGGGCGGTTTATTGAGCACCTACTACATACAGGGTCCTCTGACCTGAGATCCAGCTGCTCCCTCGAGGGCCACGGCCATCATGAGTCCATTTTACAGATGAGAAAACTGAGGCTCGGCAAGGCCAGGACACGGCCTGTGCCCTAGAGGGGTTCCTTCCGTGGCCTGCCTTGCTGGTCTGTCTGTCCCTCCTCCTTCTCTCCCCCTCCTCAGCCCTCCTCTGTGCCACCGGGAGATGGAGAAGGACCAGGGGTCCCCACGCRAGGGCAGCAGCCCGGTGCCCGCCGTCCCTCGCACACCTGCCCACCCCTCACACACACACACACACAGAGACACGCACTCAGGAGCAGCCGTCCCAGAAGGTGGTCAGCTCTCCTGGTCACCTGGGTGGAGCCCAGGCCACGGCACCGTCAGGGAGAAACAGGCACCGGGGACACTGAGGAGCCCCTTGTCCCGGGCCGGCAGGGCGGGAGGCCGCCGTTACTCACCACCCCAAGAAAAACATGAGTGCTCCCGTTAGGCTGGGGATCCACACCCCGCCACCCTCTGAGGCCTTTCCAACACCCTGACCTCATCTAGAGCAGACCCACAAGGGCCGCCTGTGTGCCCAGCGCGTCTTGAGGGACCCTCCCTTACCAATGAGGAAACATGCTCAGAGAGGCATAGTGACTTCCTTGGGGTCACACAGCCAGCAGTGCCCAGAACTTGGGGCAAAATGAAGAAGCTGACCGTCAGGAAGGAACTCAGGGGTAGGATGGAAGTTAGAGTCATAGTGAAAGTGACGGCCAATCTCCCTTCCTCATTCCTTCCTGGCCAGACCACAGGATCCAAATGGCTCAGTGGTAACTCATGGAACACCAGGGAACTTGAGGCAGTGGGAGCCAGGCCAGTCCAGGGCAGTGGCATCCAAAACAATCTAAGTGCCCTCAATCTGGCGGAAGTCTGACCTCCAGGAAACTTTGGGTGGCAGCCCCAGGAACAGAGAGGTCAAGCCACCTCCTGAGGTCACACAGCAGCGAGTGGCAGATCTGGAAGGTAAACCAAGGTGGGGTCAGACTCCAAGACGGCAGGAAGCTAAAACAGTCATTGGCTTTTCTGGGACCCAAAGGGGTCAGAGTCACTTGGATCTGACTTCCAGATATTCTTTTGCCATGATCCAGGTGACTTGGTAAACTACTTCCTCCTGAGACTCAGGTCCCTCACTGTCACAGGGGTCTCAGCTTTCAGATGCCTAGACATCTCCAGTGGGGGTGGGGCTGTGTCACCTGCTCACAGGTGACAGATGTTGCTTATAAACTGAAGAATCAACGTGGGGCTGGAGATTGTCCGGAACCACCCCCACGGAGCCAGGCACTCTCCCGTCCCCACCGCACAGAGGAGGAACTGAGGCCGAAGTGTAAGGAAATCTGTCACCACGATCAGCCCCTGGGCCGCTGGACTCTGGCCCTCGCTTTTAAGCATTAAAATCCAGAAAGCAGGCAAGGCCGGATCCCTGGCGCGCAGTCAGCACCCTGGAGTCTTTGGTGGCTGAAGGAATCATCCTCTGTCCAAATGCAAGTCTAGCTCTGCCCCCGCTGGTGCCTGGCTCAGAGGGGATCTCGGAGGATGCCCACCYGGGAAGACACACCTCGCTGGAACAGGCCGGGGCCAAGGAGAGGCAGCACCGGGTGACGAGAAGGCCTGAGCTTCYGCCCAGGCCTTGGGCATCCTCGCAAAGAGGGGACCCAGAGTTTAGCAGAAGAGGAAACCCAGGCTCAGACAGACCAGTCACTTACCCCAAGCTCCCCCGACTCTGGAATCAGACAAACGGGACTCAGATCCCAGCTCTGCCCCTTCCCAAGTGAGACGCTCGGCCACCTACTTGGTCCCGCAGACACAGAGTTCCTCCCTCTGAAAAATGGGTACAATAACGGGTTTGTATCCAAGTGTACTCAGAGGGCTTGGCTCAGTGCCTGATGCACAAATCATTGGAGCTCCCATTAAATATCCACYAGCCCAGCCCAGGTTTGGCTCAACAGATCTGCATCTAGAGTGCAAGCGGTGGCCACAGGGGCCCGGGACCTCAGGACCTCCAGAGATAAGAATTAATCTTTAACCGAATTTAATTCTGCTCCAAATCAATGATGCAGAAATACATGGCCTGAAATACATGTTCCCTGGCTCCCTAGACCCAGGAAAACACAAAGAAAGTTGTGCTCTGGATCCCTGAAACTGGAAAGAGAGTCAAACAAGGAGAGACAGAGGCACACGGCGGGGGTCAGGGGGCTGTGAGAGGTAGAGATGCCACCCATGCTGGGGGGACCCCGTCCCCCTAGGAGCACAAGAAGGAGTTCAAAGGCTCAAAAGGATTTGTCCAGGGGCTGGGGACGGAGTTCCTAAGCTCCGTCCCCAATACCTAACCCCCAAAAAAGGATCTGTTCAATCAATCACAAAAGGGGTATTGACAGAGTCCCCACTGCGTGCCAGGCACCGTGTTTCCATTCCACCTCCGAATACCAGGCTCTCCCACTGGGTGACAGGTAAAGCCAGGTCTTGGCTGGTGCATTTCCTCTACCTCAATGCCCTTTCCTCTAGCTCTGCATTTGCTCTCTAAGGTACAGCGCAGTCACCACCTTGATCAAACGTTCCTTGACACCCCCCACCCCCGTCTGCCCCCCTTGCCTTCTGCCCCATTCATTCAGCAGCRCGCACTGACCAAGCACCTACCGCACACACGCACGCTCCTCCGCTCATCCGGGGCTCAGGGAGGGACGGCTCTTTCTCCATTTGTACCTTCTGGGGTACAGCTAGGCTGGGGTCCGGGCACCTGGGTGCCCCAGGGCCCAGCCCCGCTGGCCYGACTCTCAGGGAGGACTGGCTAGCAGCAGGGCAGGCCCCAGGAGCCTCTGAGGTCCTCCCCAGAGGAAGGTGTCTGCATTTCCTGTGGAATTCCAGTGTCCGTCCCGGACCTTCCTCTTCTCAAGGGGCCATTCATCCCCTGGTGAACTCCCTCTCCACACCTCCCACCCTGGTTTCACAGAAGGAGCCAGATCGGCCACGATGGCCTTTGGGATCCTCCCTGGGACTCGCCAGAAAGGTGGGAAGGAGGGGTCCCCAGGTCTTTCAGGTCCCCACCATCCTGCACACAAAGAGGCCAGAGCAAGGACAGGAAGTGACAGATTGTCTGGTCACCTTCTCCACTACTAACACGTGACAAGAACAAGGGGCAGCCCTGARCCTGGGCCAGGCTTCTCACAGGACACTGCTCCTGTGTCGGAAGGAGGTCAGACAGCTGGGGGACCATCCCAAGGTCACCAGGAGGGACTGCAGAGCGCACCTGGAGCCCAACAGGGCGGGCTCCTCCCGTGGCAGGTGACAGGGCTCTGTGCCTTTCACGCCTCTCCCGGAAGAGACCAGCCCCTCACCTTTCTCAGGACAGGGCTGAGTGACCCCCTGCCCTGGGCCCCTAGCCAGGGTGGCAATGATTAACTCCTGAGCGGTCCCCAAACCAAGCTCCCACAGGACACTCCCTTAGAATTCCAGGGGTTCGTGGCCCCCCTCCCCCAGCAGAGGCCCTTGGTTTAGAAGCGGAGCCAGAAAAACCACAGGGTCCACCCCCTCGGGGTCACTTCCTGGGCACCCTGTGAGGGCCACTCTGCAGAGCTGGCTTGGGGACGGGCACCTAGTGTGGCGAGGAGGGCTTTGGAGCCAGTCCCTGGGTACAAGTTCACTTGGCTCTACCCCCACCCTGGAGCCAGCCTGAGTTTCCTCATCTGCAAAATGGGAAGGACAGAGGGCGTCTGGGGCCAGACTGGGGCAGTCGGTCCTTCCATCAGCCTCGGTGCTTGGTGTCCCCGGGCAGCAGGGATGTGGGTGGTCTCCCTGTCCTCAGGGGAAGACAGCTGAACCTCTGAACCACAGTCTCAGGGTGAAGCTGGGGGTTAAAGATTTTCCTGCCTCGGGGGAACAGGGCCATCTTTCGGGTACTCAGTAACCAAGAAGTGGCCTTTGGAAGGTCCATGTTTCTAGTTTCTTCCAACTTGCTCAGAGCCAAGGGCCAACTGCAGCTCCCCCTGCATCCCACACCCCGCCACCCCGCAGAGCGGGATCCCGCCCGAGTGGGCCACCGGGGCCTTTGGTTTGGGGACTTGGGGACCCGATCCCCACGACCCCAGGTGATTCGCCCGAGGCCCGCGAGGTGATGCGTGGCCCAAGGACATCCAGCCGCGCGCCCGCGGGACCCGCGCCTCCCCTCTCCTCCCGCGCGCCCCGGGGGGACTTTGGGGTCCTCGGGGGCCGGATCGGCCACGGAACGGTCCCCAGAGGCGCGAGGGGACCTCCGCTGGGCCGAGCCTCCCGGGCCCCGACGCACTCACCTCCGGGACGGCTGGGCGCCGGCGGCCGGGAGCGCGGCTTCCTGAGTCCCGGCCGCGGAGAGCCCGGCCCGCCTCCCGGCTCAGGTTCCAGGCCGCGCCGCCCCAGGCCACCACGCCCCCGCGCCGCCACCGCGCCCCGCGCCCCGCCGCCCCCGGCGCAGGCGGCCAGCGCCCTCCAGGCCCCGCTGCAACCCCGCGGGTTCGGGAGGGCGCCGGCCTCAGTTTCCTCCCCTGGAAAATGGGCGTCGCGATCCCCGGCCGCAGGGTCCCGCGCTGGGGGCGACACCAGCTGGTCTGGGCGCCTCAGGCCGCTGGCTCGGTGACCGCGGCGGCCCGGGGAGCGGGAGCGCCTTCTCGGCTGGTCACGGGCTTCCTGGTGGCTCTGCTGTCATTCAGCCCAGAGGATGGCCGGCCGTGGGTCCCTGTCCCCGCCAGCTCCCGGCCGACCGCGGAGGCACCTGATTGACAGGCATGTTCCTCAGGTCGTTAGCCAGCTGGTAGCCCGAGCCTGGCACAGAGGGGACCATCAACGCCTGTCTTTTATTTGGCGGGGGGGTGGTGGTGGTGGCAAAAGTGACCCCCATCTCCCCAGCCCTGGGTCCGCTGGAGCATCCCCACGGGGGGTSGGAAAACCCAGGGGTGCTGGCCCTGGAGCAGGCTCCCTGAGCCCAAAGGATGCTCCACCCCTCAGCGGCCCAGGGGCCCTGGGCAGGTCCTTCCCCGGGGCCCAGGTTTCCACACGGGCCAGCGGGGACTGGGAGTGCACTCCTCCCAGGCACAGCCACGCTGGGGGGAGCATCAGGTGTGAGCAGAGGCCKGGGACACTCTAGCCATCTTCGCTGGAGGGGGGCTGCAGACAGCAATGTCCCCCAGGAGACTCGACAGCTGGAAAGTGGGGTTTTAGAATTGTTGGACACAGACAGACAGACAGACCCAAACCCTGACCAGAAGCGATGCTTTCAAGCCACCAGGGTGAAACCTCTGCCCAGAAACCTTAGTCAACGCCCACGTCTGGGAGGAGGGGGCGTGGCCCAGGAAGCCCCCCCACACACACACACACCAACCAGGCTGTGAGGTTGGGACACTGATGGAGATGACAGTGGCCCCTCCACAAGTGGCGGCCTCCCTGTGGGGGTGGGGGTGGGGAGCCCAATGGAGGCCTTCCCTCCTGGGTGGCCCCAGAGCCAGCCAGCAGGAGGTGAGGAATGTGTGCGGGCCCCTGGCCTCCCTGAAGCTGGGCCACTGGGGGAGTTGGAGGTGGCTGGGGCGGAGCCAGGTTGGAGACCAAAGGATCTGGGGCCAGGGTTGGAACTTGCTCCTCTCCCAGGTGGGAGGAAAGGGACAGGGGCCCCATTTGACAGACTGGGCCACTGAGACCCCCCCATGCCAGAAGCCGTCCTGGGCTGGAGGCCTGAATGTCAGTGTCTCCCCGCGCCTGCAGGGGATTACGTGGGAGCTGTAGGCAGGAGCCGCCCTCCCACCCCCTCTGTTCCAGGAAACAGGACCAGCACCTGGGACTTAGCGGATGCTCTCAGGGGTGCTGGTAGAGGGGGGCACGGTGGCGCAGGCTCGGAATCCCAACTCCTGGGAGGCTGAAGAGGATCCCAAGTTGGAGGCCAGCTTCAGCAATTTAGTGAGACCCTGTTTAAAAATAAAGTTCTTTTTAAAAAAGGGGTGGAATGTAACTTAGTGGTGAGCACCCTGGGATTCAATCCCCAGTGTCMCCTGACCCCAAGTGCTTGTCCATGAAGCTGTGGGGAGGCGAGAATGTGGCATTCTCCTTTATTCTGTAGAGTTTCACTTTTTTTTTTTTAATTGAACCCAGGGGTTCTTAACCACTGAGCCACATCTCCAGTCTATTTTTATGTTTTATTTTGAGACTAAATTGCTTAGGGCCTCGCTAAACTGCTGAGGCTGGCCTCCAACTTGGGATCCTCCTGCCTCAGCCTCCCCAACCACTGGGATTACAGCGCTTCCACGCCCGGCAGAATTTCAGTTTGCAAGATGCAGAGTTCTGGCGATGGTCAGTGGTGACAGTAGGACAACATGAAGATACTTACTACCACTGAACTGTGCACTTAAAAATGCTCAAAATGGCGGGGTTCAATGGAGCATGTCTGTCATCCCAGCATCTCGGGAAGCTGAGGCAAGAGGATGGATCGCAGGTTCGAGGCCAGCCTGGGCAACTTAGTGAGACCCTGTGTCAAAATAAAAAAATAAAAAGAGCTGGGGATGTGGCTCAATGGTAAAGCACTTGCCTACCATGCACGAGGCCCTGGAGTTCCATCCCCAGCACCCACACGAACACACACACACACACACACACACACACACAACAGGTAAGATAAAGTCTTTACCACAATAAAAAAAGTGGGGGGAAATTGGGTTCTTTGGAACCTTTCTGCAGTTCAGAAAGGATAAGGAGGAGAACAGAGGAGGGACTTATAGACAATGTCCACAGGAGACAAATCCATAGCTTTAGGTCCAGGGTGATGGCCAAAGAGTTGGGGGTTTTATTTTAGGGTGATGTGTTCTGAAATCGACTGTGGTGATGTTCGCTCTCATCCCAAWATACTACACAGCACTGAATAACACGCTGGATGGGTGAGTTGTGTATCTCAATAAAGCTGTTATAAAGGATTAAAAAGAACGTGGTCTCTGGGGTCAAAATTGTTYTAGGTGTGTTTCTGCTAGACTTCTAAGCTGTGTGACCTTGGACAGGTGACCTCGCCTCTCTGAACCTGTCTCCTGAGCCTCACCTGTAAAATGAGGGATGGGGCCTCTGCTGTGGGAGGGGGCCTCCAGCCCATTTTGCAGAGGGGCCAACTGGAGCATCCTTGGTTCAAAGAGGTAGCTGCGGCTGGTGGTGCAGTTTGAGCGCTTCTGAATTCCAACCACACCCTCCAGCCGCTAGAGCAACACCCTGCCCACACCTGCCTGGATGAGATGGAGAGGGGGCCGGGGGAGGAATTCTAGTCATGCCTTGGATGGGCTCCAGCCACGCAAAAGGAGGTAATGGGGCAAAGAGGGCTGGGGAAGTACTGGAGCTAACACGTGGGCACTTATGGAGTGCTTGCTGTGTGCCAGGTACTGTGCAGGTTTGGTCTTCCAGGAGAGGAACATGCTCAGAGAGGTGAAGACACCTTCCCAGGGTCATACAGCTGAGAAGGGGCAGGGTCCTCTGAAGCCTGCCTGAGGGGACAGCAGTCCCCCCCCCCCGCCCCCCCTTTCCAAGAATCCCTGGAGTTGGGACAGGAGGAGGCTGGAGACAGTGAGCTAGTTTGTATACCTTGGTTCCTGCAGAGAGTTGGCTTCTGTCTGGAGGCCCCACCCTGCCCAGGACCCACCTTCAATGAGGCTCTTCTGGAATCTCCCTGGGGCAGAAACCTGAGGCCAGGTGCCTTTCTCCTCGGATGACGTTGCCATGGGTACAGCCACTCTGGTCGCTCAGGGGCTGGCAGTGATTCCGGGAGTCTCTGGGCAGCTGGCCTGGCCGCCTGTGGGTGTGGCTGAGCCACAGCCGGGCTCTTCAGAAAGGCGACATCCTAAGCTGTGCCCCAGCGAAGGGAGTGTGGGGGCGGGGGCTGGCCTGGTCTCTGGGTGGGCAGCTGGGCCCAGGGAGGTCCGGGCTATGGTGCATGGGATTGCAAAAGCTTAATGAGCCCTTTCTGGAGAGAGAGTGACTTCCGCAGAGGTGAGGGGCCCCTCCCCACCTCAGCCCCCCAAAAACTAAGGCACAGAGCATTTCCTTCCTGGATTTATGGCGTTCCTCCTACCCGGACCCTGTACAGCCCCTGTGTCTTACAGGGTCCCTGGGCCAAGCTGAGGAGCKCGTTCACAGCAGGCGGCCAGCAAACAGGCTGAAAGACTTTGACTTTCAGAGAATCCCCCCAGGTCCAGGGCTGATAAACAGTTCATCTAGCTGCCCTATAGCCAGCCCCTGGGGGTCAAGGTGCTAATAAGCTGGCCACTTGTCCCCTTCAATGCAGAGTGTTGGTTTCCTGGGGTCATGAAAACAGCCAGGGGTTGCTCACAAGGCCAAGAGGTGTCCCTGGTAGCCAGACAGAGCTGCAGAGGGGAGGGGAGAGAACACCAACCACCCAATGCCCTGATTTTAAAGATGAGGAAATTTGAGGCTCAGAGGGGAGAAGTAAGTCACCCACAGTCACACAGCAGATCTGGGCTGAGGGAGGGCAGAGGGAGGAGTAGCAGCCAGACTGCAGGATGTTTTCTGGGACATTCTTTCTCATTGTGTTTGACAGGGGCCTCCCTGTATCTTTAAGAACAAGGAGTGGGGCTGGGTGCARCTRGGTGGCAAAGTGCTTGTSCAGTGTGTGCCAGGCCCTGGGTTCCATCCCCGGTGAGTGCGTGTGGCCGTGCYGTGACTGTTGCATTGGGATATTCAAATATGCTGCTTCCTCTCCTGCTCCAGGGCCTTTGCACCTCCACRGCGGGTTGTCCTCTTTAGGAACCCCTGGCCAGATGGTAGCACCAAAATAAATAAAGACATTAGTAAAAGCCACTTGATGAACACCTCCCCGTGTCAGGCATCCCCCACACACTGCTTTATGTCATCCTGGAAGGCAGAGGTGGTCTCCTCRTATTTATAGATGCAGAAGCTGAAGCTCAGAGAGGCGCACTGACATTTGCTGGGTCACACAGGTACGAAGTTACAGAATCTGAGCTGGAATCCAAAAATTGTCAGGCGGTGGCGGGGCAGGGAGCAGTGGCAACAGTAGTGACACAAGTGACAAGACACACCAGGGACCCCCATACAGAGCTGGCCTGAAGGAGAAACCCAGGAAGGTCTGCAAACTTTCCCAAATGTTCACGCAGGACTCCTCTTTGGCCCTCRGGGAAACAAGTCGAAGAGGCGGGAAGGGCACAGGCTCCGACCCGGTCGCTGTCCCACTGGGGGCGGGGGCTGCGGGCTAGGGGGCGGGGCAGGGGCGGGGCCTGCCTGGGGCTCCGGCTCGGCGGGGTGGGGGGAGGGGTGGAGCGCAGCGCGTACAGCGCCACCTACCGGGCCCCGGGGGAGCTGCAGGCGCTCAGGGAGCCGGGAGCCTGCATAAAGCAGAGGACCCAGCCACAGCCACCAAAACCTTCCTCCGGTTCCCGCTGAACCTCCTGCCAGCGGCAACGGGTCATTGGACGATGACTCAGCTAAGCGCCTGCCTGGGCAGTTTCATTGACTGGGCGAGCTAGGCTCCGTGAGCATCCCCCCCGCTGTGTGCACCCCCACCCACTGTGTGCACCCCCACCCACTGTGTGCACCCCCACCCACTGTGTGCACCAGGAAACTGAGGCTCAGAGGTCAGCGATTTGTGCAGGACCACCTGGGTGGCAGTCAGCAGCGCCGACACAGCCGACCTCAGAAATATAGGCTTGCAATTCTATTCAACACCAAGTTTCTAACAGCTTGTCTTCAAATACCGCTCCAATTGCTTGGTAAATCCTGTAGTAACGGGGGCGCGAGSCTTAGGGAGGCCCCGTGAGGCCGCTGTTAGGAAAACAGGCTCCTCACCTACAAAAGATGCATTGTAAAGGTTTGAAATAGCGTCCTGGGCCAAAAATATTTTTTGGTTGTAGATGGACACAACACAGCACAGTGAGTTTTCATGGAATGAATCAATAAGCAAATACGTGACTCAATCTTGGCCAAACTTTTGGGCTAAATCTGGTTTCTGTGAAGCCTGGGGTTCATCCTGGGAACGCGCTGGCTGATGAGCTGGACCAAGGAAGCCGCGGATTGACGGTGATCTGGAATAGATATGTCCCACAGGTTCCCCACACTTGCTGGGTCACCCTGGGCCCATCCCTGCCCCTGGAGCAGAACCACAGCATCGGGGAGTTCATTTTCCTCTTCGGATGAGTGGATGGGTTCCCGATGCCCACAGCCCAGGAGGAAGTGAAGTGGGGGGCCTGGGCAGCTCTCGGCTCTGTGTTCTTTCTTCTGGCCTGGGCAGGACTCAGTTCCGCTTTGACAAGGATAAAATGGGAAGGCCCCGATGCGCAGATGTCTTTGTCTCTGAGGTCCAAACCCCAAATGCTCCCAGAGACTCAGTGAGTGACAGGCATGAAGGAGGTGACCCTCCTGTGAACAAAGTGCCCTCCCCCTGCATTGTGTTATATATTAGGGATACSAAGAAAAGAGACAGAATCATTTTAATTTGCTAGTGCAACTTTGAATCTCTAGGAAACCCAAAGGGAGAAACCCTAAAAGCCATCAGGGCGGAGGAAAAGAGCAGCCTAGGATCAGCCTTGAAGGCAGGATTGTCAGGGTCATGCTCGGGGTCAAGGCAGGGCGTGCTGCCTGCTGTGGGCCAAGTCATCGGGTCTCTGCGGATGTCTTGGAGTGTCCCCTCCCTCTCCCCTGTGTGGAGGTCTCTTGCAAGCTGGACTCAGCAACCTGCCTGTCGGGGTGTGGCCCTCTCGTCTGCCCTGGGCTCCCTCTAGGGCAGAGCTTCTGCATCACTACTGACCTACTGGCCCATCCTGCCCACTCGGCCATCAGCTCTGTGGGAAATGATACTTCCTACTTCATCAGCATCAGCCGGTGATAGAGTGCCAGTAACCACTGGCCACCGGGTTGGTGAAGCACAGAGACAGGTGGGGTCTGAGTCCAACTGGAAAGTGAGCCCTGCTCTGCCTCCCCAAAGGGGCCTCTTCTCTCAGCTCCTGCCAGGAAGGCTGGTTCTTCAAAGGAGGCTAGGGTCGGGAGGACAGCTCAGTGGTAGAGTGCTTACCTAGCAAGCGTGGGCCCTGGGTTCAAGCTTCAGCACCACAAAAGAAAGAAAAAAGAAACCCAGGATTTTAATGTGAAATCCCTGTTTTTCAATGTGGCAACAAATTCCATTTTTTTAAAACCACGGAAGACAGTAAACAGGTCCTTGGCAGGATTTGGTAGCAGGGTCCCCAGTTGTAATCTCTGATGCAGAAAAATGAATGAACCACAGATTGCTGAGTGCAGTGGCGCATGCCTGTCATCCCAGAGGCTTGGGAGGCTGAGGCAGGAGGGTCCTGGGTTCGAAGCCAGCCTTAGCAACTTAGCAAGACCCTGTCTCTAAATAAAAATAAAAAGGGCTGGGGATGTGGCTCAGTGGTTAAGCGACCCTGGGTTCAATCCCTGGTACTAAACAAATAAACAACAACAACAACAAAAACTGAAACAACACACAGATGTGATTCCAAAATAGACATTTGTTTATTAAGGATCATTTAGTTTCTGCATATAAATCACCAGTTGTTCCTCATTGGGTTTTTAAACACACACCACTTGTTCTGGGGTTGCTTTGTTTGCCCCCACTTTAAAAACCAGAGTTCTTTTTAGCCCCCAAAAGGACAGTTAAGGCAGCAGGGCGTTTCCTGGGGTCTCATGAGCTGGAGGGCTCCCATCTCCCCCTCCAGAAATTCATGTGGTAGGTAGTTTCTCAGGTTGGAAAACCTGTCCCTGAAGAAAATAATCGTGCAGAAGAATGCAGATACAGGCATCTGTGGTCAAGTGTGTGCCCAACAGCTTGAAAAGAAACACCCTCTTGGTCATCAAAGACTTGCTGGTTGGTTTCCGTACTTAAAAAAAACCAAAAAAACCCAAAACTGTCTGGTGGAAAGAAGCCAGTCAGAGAGCAGGGTTCCTAGTGACGTGCTGTGAGGTCGCTGCACACACCACACAGGACACACACCAGTTTGCTTTTTCAAACAACGCAGTAGGGACCCTGCATATTTCCCTATCAACTATTCATGGTCCTTAAAATACCCATAGCTTACTTCAGCGACATCCTCCAAGGACACCTGCTTCTCTATAAAGCCAGGCATCCACCCTCGCCCAGGAGCTGTGCTCCTGGTGGGGAAAGAACCAAAAACCAAAAACCCTAGGACTTGACTGATTAGAACGGTTAATGGGTGTTTTCACMCTGCCGCAGGGTCCAGTGGGTCTACCTGCGCTGAGATCCAGAGRAGACCTGGAAGGAGGATCATGACTTATTGCTTCATTAGAATAGACCCCCGCCCCCAAAAAATGACTTTTAAAAGCAGGGCCGACGCCTGCAGGCCCCAGCTGGGCTGGGGGGCTCTGGGGACACAGAGGGCCCGGCTTGATTCACAGTGATCGGGTGGCTGGTGGCCGTTGGCGCTGGCCGGTGGCCGTGGGCGGGCGCCGCCTACACCTTGTAGTCGAGCTCGGCGTTCATCTTGGTGTACATCTCGTAGATGACGTCGATGGTGGCCGTGTAGTTGACCAGGAAGAGGCGGATCTTCTCCAGGCACTCCTCCTCTGTCACGTTCTGCCCCTTGGAGAGGGCCTTCAGGAAGTCTGACTTGTAGGGCGCTGCGTACAGTGCGGCCTTGAGTGGGCGAGAGGGGCACCGGGTTAGTGGGCACAGCCGGGACCCCAGGCCCGCGCTGAGATCTGGTTGTGCTTCCCCAGGTCCATGCGGGGCAGGGTCTGTGCTGTCYGTGGTGTTGGGAGGGAAAGGAAAGGGAGGTGTGTTTCCCCTTCTACCCCCGTGAGGGACAGCAGGAAGGACACCAACTAGGGGGACAGACAGACAGACCTGGACGCACACTCCAGCTTGTGCCGCCGACTAGCTGTGAGCCTTGAGCAAGTTACTTAGCCTCTCTGAGCCTCAGTTTCCTTGTCTGTAAAGTGGGGATAATAATGGCATCCACCTGAGTCACTTCCGTCAAGATGAGGGAGATCATGCCAAGTGCTCGGCAAAGCTCCAGGCACAGGGGCTGGCACCGGGCACACGTGAGCTTGGGGGTGGCATGCTCTGGAAAAGGGGAACGGCTTCTTGGGAAGCCCACTGAGTGGGCACAGGCTGCTAATCCAGGCTGCAGTCTTTCTTTAGTCCTCAGTGGGTGACACTACCCCAAATTTTAGGACTTAGAAAGTGCACTTGAAAAGCACTGAGAAGCCAGGAGCAGTGGCACACGCCTGTGATCCCAGTGACTCGGGAGGCTGAGGCGGGAGGATCCTGAGTTCAAGGCCAGTCTCAGCAACTTAGCAAGGCCCTAAGCAACTTAGCAAGACCCTGTCTCAATGTAAAAAATTGTAAAAGGGTCAGGGATATAGCCGAGCGTGGAGCAGCCCTGGGTTCAATCCCCAATAYGAGAGAAATTTTAAAAAATAAAAAATATGAGGATACTGAAGCTCCAGGACCCCAGCCCCATTTTCTTTGTTTTTAAGAGCTGCCTGGCTGTGTGGCCTAGGTTGGCCTCAGACTCCTGGGCTCAAGTGATCTTCTCGCTTAGCCTCCTGAGTGGCTGGGAGTGCGAGTGGAGCCACCACACCAGTCCCCACTCCTGCACCGTGGGCCAGGACTTGACTTATGGGAGCACCACCGACCTCGCCTGTGGGCTAGGGTAAGAGCAGCCCCTGTGTCCTGGAGCACCGGGGGCTGCGGTCACAGGCAGCTCCCTGAGCCAGGCATGCAGGCCACTTGTCCTCTGTGGGGACAAGGCACTGAGGGGAGGGTGGTCTCTCAGGGTGCCCCTGGGAACGGGCCCTGTCCCAAGCCATGCCAGGGGGGCTGTGCCAGAGGTGACATTTCCTGCCCTGTGACTGGCCCTTCCTGCCTGGACCTGGCCTGGCTCCTGACCCAGCTGCTCTCAGCATGTGCCTCACGGGGCGAGACTGGCCACCACACCCTGGTTTTGCGGCAGTGAGGAGGAACAGGCYGTTGAAGTGGGGCAGGAAGCTACCACGGCAGGCTGCGAGGCCTCGCCGAGTGAGACCGAGGCTCAGCAAGAGGCAGGTGGCCAGCAGCAGCCTGCAGGGGACATTCCCCCAGTGGGCGTCTCTGCCTGGTAACCCCAGGGACCCTCCGCTAGCCAGGCTGGCGCTGGAGCTCTGGTTCCAGGAGCCCTGTCAACGTCACCCCAACGCAGGCCACCAAGAACCCCGGGGGCCAGTGTCCCTCCAGCAGATGCCTCAGTGGGGACAGGGGCTGTTGCTCCCCCCTTTCCAGGGTTGGGAATCCAGATGGAATCTGGGGGGCCGTGAGGCCAGGCCACCCGCAGTCCTCAGGGGCTCTGCTGAGGTTCCCCAGTCAGGCCGCACAGGCACGGCACCTGCAAATGCCACCCCCCAGGGCCATGAGCAGGGCTGGCCAAGTGGGCGGGAAGGGACCCTCAGTGCAGCAGCTTGCCCCAGAGAGGACACCCCAAGGGGCAAGCGCAGGCCCCCAGGGGAAGCCTGGGGGGTGGAGCTGCAGCGGGTGGCCCTCCCAGCTCCCCAGTCCTGGAGGGTGGCTCACCTGGAAGATCTTCTGCACGATCCAGCCGTGGTACTTCTTGAGGGCCATCTCGTAGGCCTTGGTGGCATTGACGCGGATGAGGTTGGGGTGGTTCTCGTCCCGCTCGCCGTCACAGATGCTCTGGAGGAAGACCTGGATGAAGCGAAGGCCTCTGTGGCCCAGAGAGGGTGGCCCTTTAGGACCCGTGTCCACAGCCAGCGCTCCCTGCCATGGTGGGGCTGCTGCATCTGAGCTAAGCTCCTCCTGTGAGCCACGTGTTCATGGGCACTGCCCTCGGCCAAGCCTCACTCCTGCCACGAGGACACGGCCGCCAGGCGCAGCCTGGTCCCTCCCGAGCACCTTGCCCAGCTGTGAGACCCCCAAGGTGGGGTCTGGGCCTGTCCTCTCTGTGTCCATGTCCATGTGACCTCTCACAGGTTGGCACATGCCAGGCAGCTGTCAGGGCCCGAGGGTGAAGTGCTGGCCCTCAGAGGGAACATGACAGGGGGCTGCAGAGCCCAGCTCCCGCCCCCGGGCTCGCTTCTACCTTGAAGCCCCTGGGACCCTCCTGAACCTGCCACACTGCACCACAGCTGCCCGCCCCCTGCTCCCGTCACGTCTGTGTGATTCACTGGCCCCAACAGACCCTCCTCAGAGCCAGGAGAAGGGGGTTCCAGTCCTTTAGTGTCATCTCCTGCCCCGCACCCCATCCCCCAGGAGGCTGAGTGGGGCGCCATTAGCCACTTCACAGAGAGCTCTGAGGTTCCTCCTAAAGGCTCCCAAGCCAGGACCCTCCCAGCCTGCGTCACCCCCAGCTGGGCTCCWGCCTCTGCTGCCCCTCACTGTGCCAGTAGGTCCCCAGATGGGCCACTCCACTCCCTCCCTGCAGGGTGGTGGGGGTCAGCTAGAGTGCAGGGCCCTTACAGGGCAGGAGTGCTGGGTTTGGGCACCGAAGAGACCCTCACTCTTCACCCTTGAGGTGAGGCGGACCCTCCATGTTCAGCCCAGAGCCCACCAGGGATCGGCCTGGAGCCTGGAGCTGAGGATAGCTCGGCTGTGGCCTGCCCTGGACAGCAGTTGCTCTGGAGCCCTGGATCCCCCTCCCCTGGCAATGAGGATGGTGTCCCCTGAAGCCTCCCTGACCACTGACTGCTCCTGCCCCCCATGGCTCCTCAAGACCCCCCCTCCAGGCTTGTGTTCCTACCCAATCTGGTCTGGGCTTCCCAGGCTCTGGCCTCACACCCACCCGAGGCCTGTGTGCCAGGTCTGCAGCAAGGCTTCCCTCAGCAAGGCTGTGCCCTCCTCCGTGGGACCCTCCTGCCCAGCCTGGGACACTCCACGTGGCTCTGTCCTCCAGGAGTACCCCCTGCCCTGGCTCTGATACTCTGCTGCTCAGATCTGCCCGCTGACTCCCCCAGACAACGATGCCAAAGGAGGCTGCAGAACGTGCCTGGTTCACCCCCTTGGCCTGCTGGTGACCACCAGTGCCCCTTGGCCTGGCCTAGCTCACATCTAACAATCGGGACATCTCCTCCAGCTTGCTCCTCCCCAGAAACCACAGCACCTGCGAGGTGGATGGACCTGAGTCTCTAGTGACCAAGGCAGGCAGCTTGGCAGGGACACTTCCTAAAATGTGCTATAGGGTGCCGACTGCAGACCTGCTCCTGCCCAGCTTCACCCTCCCCGCTGCATTTCACCAAGATGACGGTGTGATGGGGCTGGGGGTGGCAGGAGGGCTCCAGGGGACCAGTGGAGAGAATGGGGCAGGCTCCCTCCCAGCTCTTGGTCCAGCCTCCAAGGGAGGGCAACTGGGGACACCTGTGGGGCCAGGAATGGGCCTCTGGCCTCCTAGCCACTGCTGGTAMTGCACAGGTACAGGAGAATTCTGGAGCTGGTCGAGACCCAGTGAGTTCAAAGCACAGTGTCTGCGGGCCCCGGTCCAGAGGATGCCCACGTGCAAATCAGATAGAAATCCTTCTCCTCAAGGCTGTTGTTTCTCGTGAGTGTGGTGGTCAACACCGGGATCCCAGTGACTCAGGAGGCTGGAGCAGGATGATCACAAGTCCCAGGCCAGCCTGGACAGCTTGTTTTTGGTACTGGGAACGGGACTCAGGGGCGCTTAACCACTAAGTGACGTTTCTGCCCCTTTAATTTTTTTTTTTTTTCCAGACAGTGTCTCACTAAGTTGCTTAGGACCTTGCTAAGTTGCTGAGGCTGGCTTTGAACTTGTGATCCTCTTGCCTTAGCCTCCTGAGTCACTAGAATCACAGGTGCATGCCACTGTGTCCCAGCTAGCCTGGGCAACCTAACAAGCCCCTGTCTCAAAACAACAACAACAAAAGGTGGGGGGGAGGGGGTAGAGCTCAGTGGTGGAGCACCCTGGGTTTAATCCCTAGGACATCCCCTGCCACACATACACGGCTGTTATTTCTGTCATGAAACTAATATAGAAACCCACCTTGTGCATTATGTGACCAACCCTGAACAGGACACCTCTGTGTGGTGCACAATCTGTGCAACTGTGCTTGGAAGACCTGGGTGTGCGACTGGGCCTCCAGATGTCCCTGGAGCCTCCTCTGCGACACAGGGAGACAGCACACCTAACTCACAGCCTGTGAAACTCAACCCGAGTAGGAAGAGCTTAGCCCAGYGCCCAGGATGGAACAGACGCTTGCTATTCTGTTCTAGGGACTAGAACAAGGATGTGTCACCACTGGAATAGGCTCTGGCCCTTAGGAGGCTTTTTCTTGGCCATTAGTAAGCATCACACGGGCTGGGTTGTGGCTCAGCAGTAGAACGCTTGCTTAGCCTGTGTGAGGCCCTGGGTTTGATCCTTAGCACCACATAAAAATAAATAAATAAAATAAAGGTATTATGTCCAACTACAACTAAAAAATAAAATGTAAAAAAAATTTTAAAAAAAGTCTTTCAACTTAAAAAAAAATAAGCATCCCACTAGAAGGGAGTGTGGACCCCACTCGGGCATGGCAGGGCTTCCCCCCTGCACAGGACGGAGCCCTGGGCCCGCCTCTGCCCCGCCATCACCTTTTCAGCCACATCAGTGCCAGCGTGGCCCCCACTTTGGGCCATTCTGCTCCATACATTTCCTTCTCCACCTCCAGGATGTTCTGCAGGGTCCGGAACTTGGCTGGGTCGGTGTCGTACACGGCTTTGATTTTCTGAAATGGAACACACGGGGTTTTCTGCTTGGAAAAGCTGCTCACAGCCAGCTGTGCTGCTGCTGGGAGGCGTGGCTGTGGGAGCGGCAGGGCTCCAGCACCAACTCCCCCGGGCTCCGGCCTGCTGCGTGGGGTCTGCATTCCAGGCAGAGTCTCATGTGGTCTAGTGGCAATCCTGAAGTTCATCAGTATCCCAAACTGCAGATGAGGACACTGAGGCTCAGAGAGGGCCAGTGACATGCCCAAGGCCACACAGTATGCAGGTGGAGCAGGCCCCAGCTTGCCTGGCGCTAGAGTCCTGGAGCTGAGGATAGCTCCTCCAACCACCACTGACCCTGCCCCAGACACCAGGTGCTTCAAGTTTCGCTTCTGTGAGAGAGTAGACATGGGCTCGTAGGATTCTGAACTGGAGCCAGGTCGGGCTGGGTGGGAATCCCAGCTCTGCCACTTTCTTTTTTTGTGGTACCAGGGATTGAGCCCAGGGGCACTTACCCACTGAGCCACACCCCCAGCCCTTTCTTATATTTTATTTAGAGTCAGGGTCTCGCTGAGTTGCTTAGAGTCTTGCTATGTTGCTGAGGCTGGCTTTGAAYTCACGATCCTCTTGCCTCAACCTCCCAAGTTGCTGGAATTGGAGATGTGCACTATCACGCCCAGCTGTAGCTTTCTAAGCGACCTTGAGTGAGCCTTTGACTCCTAATCCTCAGCTTCCTCATTGTCAGAAGTCCTCAAAGGGCCACTGGTTCATGTGGAAAGCCCCCAGGCTGTGTGGRCCCTGAGTGGACCCTCGAGGGGAGGGGGTCTGTAGCTGGGGGACGRCACCGGAAGGCCYAGGGCCAGGGGAGGAGAGAGCTGGGCCAGTGCCACCTGTGGACTTTGGCATTGACTTGTTTGGTGGAGGGGGCAATATCCTCCTGCCTGAGCCCTGCCCAGCTGCCACTAGGTGGCGCTATTACAGAGGAGGACCAGGAACTTCAGGCTCCAGCGCATGATCTTGGGGCCAAGCCTGTCTTCCATGGCAGCCTGTCCCTGGGCTGGGGAGCCTGCAGCTGGGAGCAGGGTTAGATTACTGTGGGTGCTGTAGCTGCAGCTGCCAGGCCAAGTACATACCGTGATGTTGCCACTTATGTCTGCCTTGATGGGTGTAAACACGGGGGACCCAAGGCAATCTGGGGGGAAAAACAAGAGAGATTTAGATTCCCAATGGGGTGATGTCCAGGACCGCTGTGGGCCACAGAGGAGTGGACGTCTGAGGCGAGGCCGCCGTGTTTAGGGGCAGGCAGAGTTGTTCACAGGAGTCAGGGGTGTTCTTGGACAAGTCCATCTGGGGAGTGCTGGGACCAGGTAAGACCAGGTCACGAGACAGGACTTTTCAGAGCCTTTAAATGGAGGCTGAAGGGCTCAGAAGCGCATCCTTCATCCACCCCACTCTGCCCGCCCAGCACCTCCCACTAGAACTTTCTGCCATCCAGGCCCCTGCACTGTCCAGCGTGGCACCCGCATGACTTGGGCTTGACTCAGCTCTGCGCCTGTAGGGGGTGGGGCACATCCCCTCAGCTTTCTGAGCCCACATTTCCAGTCCAGCAGGTGACACAACAGACCCCAGGGACTCGATGACTGAAGCACCCGATGCGCACTTCGTCCCCCTAGAAGCGCCCTGTGCTTCACAGCAGGCTTCTGGCTCTTCCTGGCAGAGCCTGGCCCAGCAGTGACCCCGCCAAGCTCATGGAACCCAGACCTACAAACTGCCCCTTGGGAAACGTGAGACGCCTGCTGCCTGCCTCCCTTCCACCCCCTGTCCCCTGGTAGGCTGTCCCAGGGCCAGGACACAGGTCAAAGAACTGCAGGGAGGACCCATGGGCCCGTAGGTTCTTCAGCACAAGGCTCAACACAGACCTTGCCCTTGGGCCTGACGCAGGCAGCTGCCTGTCCTCTCCACCTATCACCAGGCTGACACAAAGCCGGGGACCAAGGCCCCCCGAGCAGGACAGAGGTGGGTGCCAAACTGTGGGCAGGACCCTCAATATAGGCACCGGGTGGGGCTGGGGAAAGTACTTCTGCAGGCCAATTCCAGCCAAGGTGACCCAGCACACCTGGCTGGCCATCTGGAATGTTCTAATTGCACCGGATGCTTTAAATGAAACACCCTGTCATGAGGGCTAGGGGTGCCGATGGATGGCGCTGGAATTGTCACCAGGCCACTCCTCAGCTGAGCACATCCCCTCACCTCTGTGTTTCTCCGTCTCCTAGTGCGTCAAAGGGGGCGACTACAGTGCTTATTTCATAGGGTTGTCATAGGAATTAAAAATAGTGCGTCAGCTGGGACGGGGCTCAGTGGTGGAGCTCATACTTAGCATGTGSAAGGCCCTGGGGTTCCATCCTTAGCATGCGTGTGCATGTGTGTGCATGTATCACATACTACATATATGTAAATAAATAACACATCAAACACCCTGAGGGCTCCGTGAGGTGAACCCTGGATAAATGGGCTTTRATCATTTTCATGACTTCACATCATCATTACCAGAGTCAGGATCCTTAGTCCAGGGGCAAAGCTGCCCACCAAGGGCCAGCCAGCACCTCCCCTAGGTGGCCACATCAGAGGGTGGAATTCTCAGTGACAGAATGCTTTGCCTAGACCGTGGGAAGCCCGAGTTCCATCCCCGAGTGTCCAAACAAGACACAGGACAGGGACTGCTCAGGTGCTGTGCTGGGGGTTCGGGCCACCCAGATGGCCTGCCAAGGGCTCTAGTGCAGTAACCGCTCCATCCCACCCTTCGTCCCTGCCTGAAGCACCACTGAACTCGTCCTGGGTCATGCAATCTGTTAGTCCCAGGAGACGCTCCCTCCTGCCCACCATACGGAGCTCTGAGAGGGCGGGCACCCGATTGCCTGCTGGGCCTGGCACCCAGCTCAGTCAGTGACCCCACCAGGTGCGTGGATGATGTCTGTGCAGTGACCGAGGGAAGGACTGTGGGCAACGTGGAACCTACCAGGCTATTCCCTGCGAGGCTCCTTAGACCCCCCAACAGAGATGGTGAAGGACTAATGAGGGTGGGGACCTCAGTTTCCCTGCCTGTAACAGGAGGACCTTGCAGGACATCCCAGACGCTCTGAGGAGGCGGCATTCCTAGGTCAAGCCAGTGCTCGGAGCCCGGCTGTGATTGCTGACACTGCCCCAGGCTGATCTACCGCAGTTTTCAAATGCCAAGACTGGAAACCAGGGCTTGGGGACAGGGCAGCAGCAGTCAAGGGGGTGGCTTCTTAGCTATTCTCAATGACTCAGGTTGCTCCACGTTAGATGCAGAAAAAAATGTTCTCAGCATCCTGATCTTTGAAAAAATGGCTTTGGTACCCTTCTGGTGGCCCTGCCCTGATGGCGGGGAGAAAGGCTTTTTGTCTGGGGTTCTCCTGACAGTGCGCTCCGAGGGTCACGGGGCGCTGTGGTCAGCAGGAGCCGGGACCTGACAGTAGGCCTTATTGTGTGGTGTCGGGGCCCAGGACCAGGGCTGCTCAGCTGTGGGGGAAGGACGGCCGTGCTGAAGGGCACTTCTGAGGCTGGAGACCCGCAGAGGCAGAGAGGGGKTTGAGTCAGACTTCAGCAGAGAAGGGGGGGAAGTAAGGGCTGGGAATGGGACCTCAGCATCCACAGGAAGGGGCCATGCACAGAGGGGACCGTGGGCAGGAGGGCGCTCCCCTGCACATCTCCAGCTCCGCGGTCTCCACGCATGCGCAGTGGGCAATGGTCACCGCAAGCATCCCTACGTGGCTTCTGGTGATCAGAAGTCAGGGCCTGGTGCCCTACAGCCAGCCAGTCAAGGGCTCAAAACCTGACTCTGGTGTGGCTTTGGCCAAATGACTTGACCCTCTGGGCTCCGCCCTTCACTTCCTATCGCCCAGAAGTGCTGCCCAAATGGCACCAAGCCCAGAGAAGCCACACAGGAGCACCAGGAACTCGGACCCATTACAGAGCCAGGCTGCTTCCAGTCCACCCTCATCTTTCTTTCTAGAGTGTTCCCATCTACTTGTGTCAAAAGTGAAAAAGAAAAGAACTCTCACAGACATCAGAGGAGGGTTTAATTCCCAAGCAGCAGTGGCCTTTTGGACAGGTTGAACTTGGTGCTGCTCAGACAGAGAAGGGCACACTTCTAGCRTCCTGCAGCCTTACCTTTCCAACAGAAAGCAGCCTGCCACAAAATGACCTTTCTTGTTTTACCAGTTTTTAAGTTACCCTAAACTTGTTTTAATTGTTGTTAGCAAACAGGCTCTTTAAAACGTCACCAGAACCTGTCTGCCTGGAGGGAGGGAGGGAGCTGGGATGGTTTTCTAGTTCATCATCCTACCTGGGGTGGGGGTGTAACCGGCCAGGTATGATCCCACCATCTTATTTCGCGGAACCAGCTCAGATGGGCACAGATTCCAATACAGTAAAGATGGGATTATTGGCAACACCTGGCCCCTGCTTTTTGGTGGACATATTTTTTCCTCCTAAGCATGCTACTTAATGCTGGAGGTATAAGGAAAAAACCAATAAATTTGATTATAAAATAAAGACTATGAGGCAGGGGGAATCCTAACACTAATCAAAGCCAGACAGTAAACCGGGTTGGGAGGTAGCATCTGTGTAACAAATAGAACAGATAAAAAGCCATTATTCCTAGTGTGCAAAGCGGTCTTACAAATTCATAAGGACAAAAATATAGAACAATGAGTAATTCACAGAAGAAATGAAAAATACGCTTAATCTCAATAATAAAAAGAAAATTAAAACAGGGTAGTATTTTTCATCTACCAATTTTTTTTGGGGGGGGGTACTGGGTCTTTAATCTAAGGGCACTTTACTGCTAAGTTACATCCCTAGTCTTTTTATTTTGAGACAGGGTCTTGCTAAGTTGCTTAGGGCCTCGATACATCACCAAGGCTGGCCTCGAACTTTCAGTCCTCCTGCATCAGCCTCCTGAGTTGCTGGAAAGACAGGCATGTGGCATGGTGCCTGGCTCATCTACCAAATAACTTTATGAATGTACCAACCTTCTCTGTTCACCTGTTCTGGATGGAATTTGTCAAAATATAACACAAATGTCCCTGCTTTCATATAACAGTGTTTGCAACTTTCTTTTTCTATTTTTTCTTCCGTTCTCTTTTCTTTTTTTGGTATTAGGGATTGAACCCAGGGGCGTTTAACCACTGAGCCACATCCCCGGTCCTTCGGATGTTTTCTTTTGAGACAGGGTCTTGCTAAGTTGCTTAGGGCCCAAGTTTGCTGAGGCTGGTTTTGAACTTGGGATTCTCCTGCCTCAGGAGCTTGGGATTTCCTGGGTATCTGGGATTTTTCRGCCTGCACCATGGCACCCAGCCTCTTTGGGTACTTTTAAAACCTTCTCCTGATGGTTGGGGGCTATTCCACCTGCTCTGTGTGCAGCACTTCTATTCTGATAGATACTTGAAAGACAAATAGCCCACAGTGTCAGAATCACCTGCAGAATAGGAGACACACCCAGGAATCCAGGGGAAGGACTTGTGCATGATGTCCAGGACTACTCTGGCTGCCCAGGGGCCATTCAGGGCCTCCTGCCTGGGTCTCTGCCACAGTTCAGATGGGTGACACTGCCCAGAAAGCAGAATTCCCCATAAGCTAACAGTTACCAAATGCCACCTGGAATCAGACTCATTTCCTTTTTTTCTAGCCTCGGCAGGGTTGGAAAGCACAGTTCTTGTGCTCTGAGCGAGGCCACAGTGCAGCTGCGGGTCCAGCCCTCTGGCAGAGCGCTTGCCTAGCACATTTGAAGCCCTGGGTTCCTGCCTGGGTTCCTGCCCTTGCAAAAACAAACCCACCAAACAAAACCACGGCCAGCACATATGTGGAAATTTCCATCCAAGCTGCCCACAGTGTCTTCCTCTTTTAGAACAGGTGAGACCTCCTGCGGGGCAGCAAGGTGCCAGAGCTGCATGGCCCTGGCCCACCCTCTCACTGGATTTCAGGAGTAATTTCCATTGAGAAACAGATGCACTGTGTGACTCAGGATGGGAACACACCTAACCCCAACCCATAAATGCTTATTTCGAAAAAGGAGGAGCGAGAGGCCTGTGTCGCAATGCCCCTGGGTGTGGGAGGCTCCAATCCATACTCAGTTTTTGTTTTTTTTTTTTTTTCCATAGCTGGATAATA